TGTGCAGTTTTTTTTAATTTCTTTTCTCTTTAATATATGATGATAAAAACAAGTCAAAATACATATACAACTACTTAAACTTGTCCAATATTATCACTTAGCTACCTCAAATGAAGCTTGTACTTATTAGATACTTCAACTTCGCTTAATATGTGTCTATAAAACACTAAAAATTGATCAATAAAACAAATGTGGTATGTAAGCATAAGAACATAATAACACGATGCATAATTATTATGCCAAATGAATTAATAATGAACCAAACAAACGCTTGTAAATGATTTTCCCAAAGGATTAATAAAGATCAATCTACTTTAAATTTGTCCAAGATCTATTGGTGTCAAAAGATTATCCTTTAACCCCCTGACACTTTAGAGTTCACAAAGGTGTCATGACAGTGCTTGTGCCAGGGAGGGATTTCCTTAAAGTATGGTCGATCTATGGCCAAAATTAGTGACCACTCTACTCTTCCAAAGGGAAAATCAAGCACAAGAGACTACCCCCATGCATCAAGTCATCATCTAGTAAACAATGTTTATCAACTTCCAATTATAAATGCAAACTGTTGAAACGTTTATTAGTTCATGCAGAATACGCTTAGCCATTTCTGGGTGGCTTATTTTGAATCTAAAGTAGGACTCACTTATGTGAGAAATCCGAAATCATACATACATAGTTGTTTAGTAGGTTCTAATGATCTAGGCAAAGCATGTTCTAACTCTCTTCACATTCAGGATTATACATACAAAAGTCATGATCTACATATTCAAACAATATTTTGAACCAAAGGTCAGGTTTATATCTATAACGATTAAGTTGTTCAAATCTAATTTTTTACAACAAAAGTGGTTTGGGGGTAGATTCTCAATTAAGTCATTTTGAGTGCATATAAATAATATAAATATGTAGTTGCTACTTTATTTACAACTCATGCATACCAATATATCATGTAGTGTATAATTTTGGGGAAGTTTCGATACTCAAGGTCATATATAGTCTGCTTGCAAGTGATAGATACAAGTGCTTAAGGTGTAACTAGCAGGCTCTAAACTTAGCATGTAAATCCTAAAAATAGGATACTATTGTGAATCTAATTTGTCATCTGATCAAAGGAACTATATACAACATGTATCACCCATGCTTCAATTGTAGCGCGTGTGGTATGATTCATACCATATGGGAATAAAGACATTAGTACTTTTGGAGGCTTTATCAGTTGTTACATGCAATAGGCAAAGGCACGTACTCATATTCAGACTTTTGAATACTATTCCTAAATAACAGGATATATAATGAACTTCACCACATCATCTAACAGATTCAAACAAATTAAACAAACTTTTGCTATGAATAAGACTAAGTCAAATAAGAGAAGCATATTTATTGACATTGGAAGAATTAACACTTCATAGAACTTACAGGCATGATTTTTACCAGTGAATTCAACATTTTATTTCCCCCCAACATGACGACTGTACTATTTACTATGCATTAAAACAAGACATGAACTATTAACATGTATTGAATTCACTACTAGAAAATGTCAATTTTCCGACCACTATTTTCGTCGGTCGGTCGGAAATCATTTAATTATTTCCGACGGAAATGAAGTGGCCATAATATAGATGGTCACATAAAATTTTCGACCAAAACAGTCCCAAAGAAGAAAAACTGGGTGACCGGCTAAATTTGAATTTTGCAACCGAAACGGTCAGTAATTTTGCTACTGAATCTATCGCTCATTTAAAAATAAATATTAATAATTTTTGAACGGTCCGACCGATTTGGTCGGTAATTTTAATAATTAATTTAAATTAAATTCATCATTTCCGACCAAATCTGTTGGAAAATTTAAAATTAAATTAATAAATAATTAATTTTTCCGACCACTTCAAGCGTAAATTTGGGAATTCCCAGTTAAGTTTTCCAACCAAAGTAGTCGACAATAGGTCGGAAAATCTATAATTTTTCAGCAGAATTCTGCTGCATTTTAAGCTACACCACCTGATCAAAACCATTCATTTAACCAACCTAATATGTGTCACAATTGTGCTTTATCATTGGTGGAAATGGGGTGGAGAGGACTGCCAAATCGTATGGGCCTGATGGATCTATTGGACCGGTCATGGGTTTTTGGGCCGATTTTGTTGTTGGGTTGGCTGGATTTTGATTTGAAATGTGGCCCTTTCTCAATTGAGGCTTTGGCAAGTTTCAAGCATTTTAGGTTTTAATCTCGTTTAACATAATTAATTTAATTAAACTATATTAATCCTAATAATTTGCAATAAAGTATATTATTAATAAAATACTACATTGTATTGGGTAAAATAAGTTCATATTAAATACTTGCATAATAAAGCGACACGTGGAACCGAAGACAGATAGAAAACGAGACAAATAGCAGTCAAGTCCGAGGACAACAATCTCGTTTGATCCCGAAGGAAATATTGCTTTATCGGAATATTGCTCATAAAGGCAAAATAAATGCCTGTCACTCGATAATATTTAATGGAAAATATTCTATGGCATTAAATACATAGTCCGTTGTCGAGAATGTGGCATTCATAGCATGCCGTTATACCCTCTTGAATGACCCCCATAATTGACATTTAAGAGGTGCTTGATCCTAAGACCTTGTTCCCTAGGTACAACTATAGATAGTGAGCTCAACAACCATTATAAAGGGAGGAATTTTCTGACAAACTCATGTTATACACTGTTAAAAGCTCAATAATATTATATCTTCTTGCTTATTATTATTATTGTTACTGCTCAAATGGTTCGAGCACGTGCGAAGGAGAAGCCTTGGTGCTCCGGTGAGGAGGTATGAGCGGTTGGCCGTGGTGGGTACGAGAAGAGGTAGAGGGCGGCCTAAGAAGTATTGGGGAGAGGTGATCAGGCAGGACATGGTACGACTGCAGATTTTCGAGGACATGGCCCTTGATATGAAGGTCTGAAGGTCAAGCATTAGGGTTGTAGGTTAGGGGGTAGTAGAGTTTTCCTTACTTCATACCCGGGGTGAGGCGGGGTTAGATTAGGGTTGATCTTAGATGGCTTGCAGTTTATGTTGAGTCCACACTATCCTTGCTGCTTATCTTAGCCCCGGGCCTTAGATACTGGTTACTGTTATTGCATGTCGTTTATCTTTTGGTTGTTATGCTTCTGTTACTATTATGGTTTCTACTGGAGTTACTAATGAATTGTCTTTTCTTATTTTTTATTTCCGTCTTTCTGAGCCGAGGGTCTATCGGAAATAACCTCTCTGCCCTATCGGGGTAAGGGTAAGGTCTGTGTACACATTACCCTCTCCAAACCCCACTTTGTGGGATTTTACTGGGCAGCTGTTATTGTTGTTGTTGTTACTGCTGCCTCCGGAATCTCTGCTCCCGAAATTAGGATTTTTGTTGTCTTATATCGATTTCAATGTTGTCTCACATTCTTGTTTAATTTATTTATCATTCTTGGGATCAAATCGATTCACTTGTCTATAAACCGCGTATAAATTTAACTATACCATTTTACGGATAAACATACATATGTATGCATTTATATATCAATTTTGTATTTTTGAAAGAGTTAACAATTTAAAGATATTGGAAAATTATAAAATAGTCGATTAATTAATTAATTTAGAAATTACTGGTGATATAACCATAATTTCTAAAATCAATTTTACTACTATAACAATAAAAATATTAATAACTATTATAATTATTATTATTAGAAAAATATATGATAAGTATTTTGAATAGTTCTTCAAAATAAGTTAAATATATTTTACTAAATTATTATTGACCAGGAAGTATAGTAAATTAATTAAAACAGGAGAGAGCCAAAATTGGTTGTCAACAGGAAGTACATAACATTTTTCTCCAAATGTCTTTAATTTAATCTGAAAAGAGTAAAATACCTTAATTTAAATCTCTAACAGTAAATAATAAAACTATTTTTATTTTTGAATAATATTAAATAAAAAGTAAACATGTACATATTTCTTTTCATTGTTTGACGCATAAAAGTTTGAAAAAGTTGATCAAATACGAACTACTTTTAATATTAACAAATGCGTTGTTTAAATGATTTGATGAATAACTGTTACAATTAGAGGATGAGCCAATATTTCAACTTTATAGGTTCTGAATTTTAAAACAATAACTTCAAGTGTTAATACTGGGTTCTAAATTTATTATTTATACATGTTCAATGAATTTCTTAACACAAATATATTAATTGAGCAAAAGCTACTAATTTCGGTCAAACTTATAGCTAGGCTTCTAGCTCCATCCCTGATTACCATTTCAAAATACTTTTAATAAAAAAAATACATTTCAAAATAGCTAGATTTTGAAAGTTTAACTAAACTAGCAATCTTGCGTCCATACCTAAGAAAACAAGAAAAACTTTAAAATTCAAGAAACCATATCTTCTATTCGTTGTTTTCCGTTAGTATTTCAGTTCGTAACTTCGTATTCTCTAAACTGAAAAACAGCATATAAAAAGGTGGAAGATTTGTTGGTGACAACTTTTTACGTTACATTATTATATGAATCAATTATTTCTATAAGGAAAAAAACGACATAATTTTAGAGCTGAAATGTAGGCCACACTTGGCAAAGAAGCTTAAGAAAACATAATCTAGATATTAATTACATAAATTTAATTAATCTTCTATTTTTTTATATATAATAGGAGAGGCAAAGAAATGTTATAATGGAAGTGTCATAACATTAAATTGACACATGTACTTTTTTGGACAATCCTCCAATTTTATTGGGGTTTCAAATTTATTTAAAAAAATGTAAAGTTTTTTTTAGAATTTTTAAATTTTCAAACAATAGAAACCACCAATAAAAATCACCAACTACTCCCACTTCCTCCATTCCCCCTCTTCACGTAAAGTTTTTAAACTTTAAAGGCAAGCAACAGTTAACTTCAAAGACCACATTACTCAGCACTAATAAGAAAATAGAAACTGCAAAGGTTAAAAAAACCCTGAAACAATACCCACATTATGGACTATTCATCCCCACTCCCTCCCTCATAAATAATCTCCTCCTATTTTTTTTTTAATTATGAACTTCGTTCAATGCGTGGGCTTAAAATTTATGCAATTTCACATTTTCAGTTCAAGGTATCCGTAGTGATTCTACATTCGTGCACTGCGAAGTTCAATTTTGAAGTAAAATTTAAATTGCTAAAAGTTCGTCGACGACAACATTGTTAAACCATGGTTATGGATTCAAAATAATCGATTCATAATTTCATCCAGAAAAGGTGCTCTTTTTTTATTCGAAAAAGTGCAAGTTCTGCATTTCAATTTTAATTAATCTACATCTAAGTAGATTTTGTTTGTTTTGTATTTTTGCAGCATTTTTCACAAGGAGGATCTGTGAGAGAATTCTTCTAATGTGATCGACAAAGGGAGTATATATTAAGTAGTAAGGTAAGTTTTATTTTGCCTATTTTTCCTTTATTTATCCAATTTGGGTATTATTCTTCTCATTCTGTTGAGTTTAATAGTAGCAAGTTTTTTGGATCTTCTTCCTTTGGGCTAATTCTTTCAAGACCTTTGGCGAAAATCCTCTACACCACTATTTTTACCATTGCGCTAACTGCTAAGATCACTGCTTCTACTTGCGGAACAAATTAAAAGAAAATGCAATCTCAAAATTTCCATCCAATCGGACCTTTTTTTGGAAGAGTCTACTTCAATTTAACGGTGCAAACTTATGTCATTTCCTAATAACATTGATAAAACTGATAAATAGATGACATTCTTTCCCTCTAACTTTAGTGTAGATATATAAAAGGATAAGAAATTAAGAATACAAACGGGAAGAAGAATTTAATTTAATTGCTCATCAAAAATAATAATTATGATCATTATTAGTAGATTTATAACATATAATAAAAAAAACTTCTATGCTTATTCTTTGAATTAATTCAACACCATCCGTTTGAAAAAAATAATACAATAATATATGTATTATACATAAACACTAAATGGGAAAAAATTAAAATTTTGATGAACATAAACTAATGTATAAAGAGGAGAATAGATATAATATGAATCTATCCACAATTTAAATTTATTTGATAAAATTAAGTAAACAAATAATACTTAAAAATATAGTTGATATATCAATAAATAGAGGTGTTGACAACGATATTAAGCCATGTGGCACTTTTAGGACAAAATCTAATAAGATTTAGGATAAAGTCTAATAATATTTAGAATAAAATATAATAGAAATTAGCACAAAATCTACTAAGAATTACCAATAAATATTTTGAATTGATAGTTTGAGATTATGCTAAGTAGCAAGCTAATAAAAAACCACTTGATAATTTTAAAATAATATATGTTAGACTATGTAATAAAATAAAATTGAAAGACAAACTTTTGAATCTTTAGATAAGGATTTTAGATTGGATTGAAATATAAAAACAAATATTTTGAACTAAATGATGTCTTTTTAAAAAACAATGACAACAATGGTGAAATATATTATTTAAACAAAAGTTTTCGATGAGTACATGCAACATTTTCCATATGTTATAAGGTTTTCGAATTTGGACTAAAATATAAAAAAGTTATTTTAAATGGAAAGATAAATAATTTTATGAAAAACATGTATAATGATGGTAAAGGACATTATTTTAAACAAAGGATTTCAATTAATAAACGTAATGTTTTTCTAAAACTATGAATGTAGATTGCGATAACTTATAAAAATGTTTAATAATCTTATAAAGCAATTAACTAAAATTTATTTGATTTATCCAACAATAACATAATATCAATTTTGACCAAAAAATTATTGTAGTATTATTTTGACCAGAAGTAATATATATATATATATATNTAAGATTTCATAAAATAACTAAATACGTAAGACCTATAAATCGAGTTACTGAATTAAGAATTTATCAGAAAACGAGTTGAATAAAAATTCCAATAATAATTCTGATTCTATCTAAGTCAAAATACCTTCTAATCCAATTGAAGATAATTTTTACATTAATTTTTCAATTATTAAAAGACATGACATTATTTTTCTCATATGATGACGAAATTGAAGATTTTAATGATGATGATTACGATGACAATGATGATCAAATAATAAATGAAGTTAGAAAAATACAAAATCAAGCATTTTTAGATTCATTTAATTATAATATATTCTTATTTGTGTTGAATCGTGTTATATTTTTAGATTGTGTGGAGCACAAACTATATAATTATTCCACCCGTCTTTATTATGTGGCACTTTTTTCCTTTTTAGTCTCTAAAAAAGAATGTCACCTTTCCTTACTTAGAAATAATTTATCCATAGAATTTATACTTTACCCCTTAATGAATTGATTATACGCATACAAATATTTATGGTTTATTTTAGACCACAAGTTTTAAAAGTATTTCTTTATTTTTTACTAACTCTAATACTGTTAGATAAATTGAAAAGAAAGGAGTGTGATATTTTAGTATCATCCAAGAGTTAGATGATGATTATATGATTTTTTAATTTAGTTACATATATTTTTATTATAAGGGTACTTACATCGAGATAAGACGATAACTATAATTTTGTTAAAATGTATCCAAACAAATCAGATCATGAATGTTTGACATGATTAATATTCTTTAATAATGTTGGCGCATCACACGAGTAGTAATATTAGTACTTAAAAATTTAATAGATCAGTTCTGGATAAATAAATCTGGATACTCATTAAATAATCTTCCATCACATTCTTTTTTCTTTCCATTTTCCCCACCTATTCAAATCTCAAAACATTCTCCGAGATTCCACAATCCCCAAAAATACCAAAAACATAAATAAATAATAAATAAATACTATAAAAGAAAACACCTTTAGGGGTCGTTTGGTAGGGTGTATAAGGATAGTGTGGAATAATGTATATTAGTAATGCATGTATTAGTAATGCAAGCATTAGTTATGCAAATATTATTTTTTATCTATTGTTTGGTGTGGTGTATTAAAATTATAATGCATTACATAATTTTTTTAAAAAATAATTGCTTACTGTCACACCTCCTTTTTCCGTCCCCGCAAGGGGTGAAGGAGTTTTTCCAATTAAAGGACAATCGAAACGGGATTTATTTATTTATTCAGAGTCGCCACTTGGGAGATTTAGGGTGTCCCAAATCACCAATTTAATCCCGTATCGAGGAAAAGAATGACTCTGTATTACATTCTGCGAACCAGAAATTCGGATAAGGAATTATGTTAACCCGGGAGAAGGTGTTAGGCATTCCCGAGTTCCGTGGTTCTAGCACGGTCGCTCAACTGTCATATTCGGCTTGTTTATCTGATTTTATACAATTTATGAGCTCATGTGCAAATTTTAACTCTTTACTACTTTTATTATTATATTTTAAAAGAATGTGAACATCGTTTAAAAACATGTCTTTGGATTGCGTCACATGAAATGCACCCGCGATCCGGAACGCATTTTTATTCAATGTTTTGGGATTTGGATTTGGGTCGCATGAAATGCACACCCGAGTTTAAGAAGGTAAGATTATTAAAATGCGCGCCTAAAGCAATTAGCGTATTATTATTTCTGGGTAAGGCCGTGGAATTTTGCTAAACGGCTCATCCCGAATCTAAGTAATTTTAATTAAACATTTATCGAGGGCCCCGCAATTTATGTGTTTTATTGGGCGAGGCTCTTCTCATTTATTTTAAAAGGATAATCCTAAAATGCCTACATTTTTTTTTATTAAAATTGTCTCTACAAAATGAAAGAGAAAAGGTCTTAATTTATTTACATGCTTGAGTTGTTATAGTTGGGTTTCGAATATGATTCATAAATTCTAAAAATGATGCAAGCATGGCAGTCTGTTGCCAATGCGGGCCCAGGCCCAACGTGTATGGCATAAAACTAGACTTGGGTCATCTTATTCACATGTTACTACCTAGTTACATTATACTAGGCATTTTCACAGTTTGTTAAATTAAAAAAAAAAAACTTAGCAATCTAATTTTAATCCTAGACCATTTACATGCTGAAATTAACCAATAGTATTTAACTAAACAATATTCCTACAAGTTCTGAAATGGTCTATTCGTTTGATGAACTAACGTGCTTTTGAAACATGGTAATCATCCAACAATAACGAATTAATTGGACGGAGTTATTACACCATTTATTTATTTTTTAGGAAATATATAGATAGTTCGTCCGTTAAGTTATCGTGAGATGTTCCACTATATATTTTAAACAACTACATGATTCTGATTAGAGTAAGCTAATAATTTATATATACAAATAAAATTCAGAATATAATTAAAATAAATTCAGAACTTCAACTCTTCATTTTTGTATTCATGCTTCATGTTTCAGTTTACAGTAACCAGCGTGTCAGTTGTGTACCTGATATTGGAAGCAAAAGAAAGGGAGATCAGCAGAAATTCAATAGCATACAACAATAGCGACACCCAGTAACCAGCAACAACCAGCAATGAGAAACCAGTGACGGATTTTAAAACTCAAGATAAAAATCCAGAAACACCAACAACAATCAACGGATCGAAGCAAAGGGAATTTTTTCAGATTTGAAAGACTAGTTAATGCTTAACCCTTAATTTCTGAATCCGTATATCAGAATATTTAGATTGTATATCAGGTGTATACTACTCACTCTTTTAATTTCCAGAATGTTTTTATTTGTATTTGTTGGAAGTTTTAATATTTTTGAAATTTTCTCTCTTCAATATTCAGCTCTCTTTTTCTCTATCTTCTCTCTGTCCCTTTTTTCTAAATCTGTCCAAGTCTCTCTATTTATCCTCCATCCCAAACCCTTTAATCAATTAATCAAATAATAAAACAACCACTTTCTCTTACCAAACC